CCCCTTAAGTATATCCCGTGCCTAGAACCTTGCAGAATGAACCACTGACTATATATATCTTTTCTATAAATGACACAATGGGAAGAAGTAAGAAATTCCTTCAGGAACAGTTAAGTGTAAAATAAGCTGGAATGCTCATAATCTTTCCTTAAAAGTTGATTGGAACATAAGCTTACCGCCCAGTCCAGATGTCAGCCTAGGAGCAGCTGGCATAGAGAGCCGATGTTTTGTTCTGAGGGGACCTCATCCTTTTTCTTCCCAAGGTCCCTTGGTCTAATTAAATTTAAGGGAGACAGAGCCTTGGCAGAAGGTTAAAGGAAGCAGCTAGACTGCAGTGTTGGAGCTAGGCTCAGAACTAAATTGAGAAGTTTAAGTGGGTGCGTCTCTGGTTTCAATGAAATACTTTTATAGTGCATGGTAGCAATGTCTGTTTCTAAACCTTTGAAAACCATTTTTCTTTTTCCTTAATTGCAGTTCCCTGGTTGTTTTTATATTATGAGCTACTTGTAGAAAACTACAGGAAACGTAATTACAATACAAAGCTCCATTTCCCAAGCCTACCAAGATTATTTGAAGCCAAACTGGGTTTTAGGGTTTTGCTAACTATAAGTTCACAGCCCTGAATTGCATCGTATTCGGTGCTGGTTGATTTACAGCCAGTGTGATGTGATTAAACAATAACATGTTTCTCCACACCGTCATGGAGCTGCTACAGGATCGAGGGAGGGGAGGGATGGGCTGGCTGCAGGACTCCACATCGCACAGCTTCCTCTGGGAAGAAGAATGAGTATCTTTGTGTGATGCTTATAGCAAAATAGAAGACTTGTAGAAATATATACAAGCTTATTTAGGGAGGGGAAAGAAAAATAAATCACTTTGTTTTTCTGCTTATACTGCTGTTTCCTTGTAGTGCTATGTTAAATTGCTAATTACTAATTTTTGTATTCTACTTTTCCTGAAGAACCTGTATATGGACTTTTAGGACCAGCAGAAATAACTTGTTTTAGTATTACTAACACTCTGGGGAGGAAACTGGTACTTTAGTGTATTGTGAAATGCAAAGCGTTTGAAAAAGTCATGATGGATGATGAGAACGAGAGCGAGCGCGCAGTCGCTGTGTGTACTCTGCTCGAGCCCCATTTCAAGCCGGCAGTGCAGACGCTCAGTACATCTAAACAGCCTTCACTCTAGAAGGCTTCGCAGAGAAGGTGAGCTCCAAACGCAGGGCAAAGCAGGTCCCGCCCCTGCCCTCCTGATCCTTCCCATCATGACTCTAGAACAAATTCCCCGCCTGCCAAGTTTCAGAGAAGTGTGAAGACAGTAAGTGGGAAAGGCTTTCAGTGGCAGTTTGACTGTCTTAATTTCACATGATGAAACTCCTTTTAACCTATTCTTTAATTTGTACGTAGCTGAAATAGAGTAATCGAGTATTTCTCACCGTTAAAGATCGGCTGTTTTCATACTGCCATTCTTTTTATTTCAAGGAATCACATCTTACGTGCTATTTGATGAGTACATTTGTGTATGGAAAAGCTAAATGCTTATCTCATTTCTAAAAATGATGTATCTCAGTCTTTTTTTTTCTTCCCTCCTTTCCTTCCTCCCTTTCCCCTTGCTTCTTTCCATTCTTCTTTCCTATTATGTAAGTCATCTTGAAATTCTCATCTCAATCTTCATCTAAATCAGTCTTCCAAGAGCTGTAACAAAGACGTTGGTGAGTAGGGGCTGAGAGCAGGATTAATTTCTTCTCCACTGGTTTTTTTTTTTTAGCCAGTCTTCCTTCCAAGGAAGCCTCTTAAGTGGATGGAAATGAAATGCCCCTGTTTCCTCGTTTCCTCCAGTGGAGCAGTTAGGGAAGGCGGAAGGAGGAAGGCACTCCCAGAGGGGACGGTGGCGGGCAGAGCGGGGTCCTCCGAGTGCTGGCTGCAGCTCCGTGCTGGGTCGTGGAAGGACGAGTGGGTCGAGATTTGCATTTTCTTAGGAACAGAATCGAACCGAGTAATTAGGGGTAGAATAAAATAGACCTTGTATAGAGTCCCTGGACGCTAAGGCTAAGTATTGCTTCGTGAAACTCCAGTTTCGTTCTATGAACGTGCGCGTGTGCGGGAGGCAGCGTGAACTGACTTTGGTCGGAAAAGCTCAAAGCCACCTCGCAGGAAGAACAGCGCCCGGCTGCGGGCTGGGAAGGAACACCCACGGCCGCATTAGAAAGAGGGGGGCGCACGCTCCCGCTGCGACAGCTGGGTCCCCGAATCCTGGGACCTTGCACCCCACACCCCGAGTCCCTTCCCCACAGGGCTGGTGGCTTTGGGTAGGATGGGCGCTTGGCCCGGCCAGCCCTGCGGCGGGAGCTGAGCGACACGGGGACACAGGCAGCTGGGAGGGGCGCCTGGTGATTAACTCACTTCCCTCCTAGCCGGAGAAGCGCAGTAATTTGAAACAGTTCTCACAGTAGCGTCCCTGACAACTTAATGTAAAAAAAAAAAAAAAAAATCATTAAGAGTCCAAGGGACGCGTCAGGGAGAAGGGGGGTGGACGGGTGGAGGTGGCTGGGGCGAGCTGGGGACTCATCGCGGTCACGGCCGCACAGCGCATTCTTAACCGCGACCTCGTGATTTACGGCGCGGAGAGTCGCAGCTGAACGCGCACAGCAAAGACCGAAAGCAGGGAAGCCCGGAGCCTTGGGCGGCCAGAGGGAACAGAAAGGTGGGGTCCCCGGGGCTCAGGACCTGCTGCCCCTGACCTACGCCTGCTTCGTCTCCCCCTCTTCTTCCTCAGGACTTTCTGCAGGGCGATTGCACCAAAGCGAAACAGAAGCTGAACTGGAAGCCCCGGGTCGCTTTTGATGTGAGTATCTCTCAGGGCGCACGCCGCCCCGCTGCGGGGCCTGGGCTGCAGGGCGGCAGCTCTCAGGGCAAGGCGCCTGAGGCGCCCAAGGCCCGAAGGGCAGGGTGCGGGAGAAGGGAGGGGTGCGAGAACCAGGGACTCGGAGGCCTCTCTGGGGGCGACACCCGGGGTGGGGTGTCACTAGGAGAGGGTGGCAGAAGCTCCTCCCTCACGCCCACTCCTGTGTCGCAGGAACTGGTGAAGGAGATGGTGCACGCCGACGTGGAGCTCATGAGGACAAACCCCAACGCCTGAGCACGGCCACAGATTCCGGCCCCCCCTCCAGCTACAATCGCCTCGGTTACCGTGCAGACGCGCTGTGGGGATAGGGAGGGGCGCGCGAATCTGCGGGCCCCCTGCGACCCCTGCTGCCACTGCGCTGTCGCAGCCACAGGAGCGGGGCCACCCCGCTGAGGTTTGTAGCAGCCGGGATGTGACACTCCAGGGTTTGGGTCGCCTTGCTTTTCTCGAAGCCTCCTTTGAATGGCTTTGTGAAATCACGATGTTTTAATCACATTCACTTTACTTGAAATTATGTTGTTAGACAACAACTTGTGGGGCCTTCAAATTGTTTTTCTCTTTTCTTATTAAAAATGGTCTTTCTGTGAACTAGCATTTACAGGGTCAGTGTGGATGTTTTCTCCGAGTTATAAACACTGACGTAAGGGTCCCCAAACAAAAACCCCACAATCCAGGCCTTGCCCTGTTTTGAGAAAGCCCCTGGTGGGAGGACTCCTGCAAGGCTCGGGGGGCAGGGGTGCTGGGGCAGCCTCCTCTTTAGTCTCTGCCTGGGACATTTCTTTCCCTTCCTGGTGACAAGTCACTCTGGAAACCTAGCGCCTGCAGAAAGGAGGACTTCACACCCAAGCTGGTCTCTGTTGACTATAATTAGAACCCAGGGCTCTCAACATCTCAAAAGAAGGCTTGAGAAATAGAGGAGGGTCAGAAGAAGAAACTTGAAGGTAAGCAAATATTGTTGGAACATTCCATGGCAAAGCCCCCGGGTTACCTAGAGGTCTCTGAGCCTGCGCCTCTCCTTGTGGTCTAGAATCGTTCACACAGTGCTGATTTCCAGCCTCTTATTAGTACTAGGTCACTTTTAAAATATAATTTTAATGTATTCATTCCTCAATTTATGTTAAGTGATACATGCCAGACATTGTGCTAGGCACTTGAAGGACATCAGCTTTAATTTGAAGTTACAATAAAAAGGTTTAAGGCTCAGCCTCAGATCACTGGATCTGGTTTCGTTGAGTGCATCATTTAGGTGGCCTGGGTATGACCACAGGTGTGTGCTCCTGAGCTGTGTATGGCATACAGCAACAGGTAGGCTGACGCACACATGTGCAGGACACCCACAGGCAGCAAGCAGGGATTTGTGTACAGGTGTATACCTCTGCATGAAATACAGTATTTTGCCCTAAAACAAATTAGGTCAGGACTCTTCTCCCCCTCACTCCCCTTCCAAGCAAAATAAAATAAAACTTTATAGCAAATGGAATTCCAGCCTTTGCACATCTGTGTGTGTGTGAGTGTGGGTAGACTATTTCTGAACGTCTTCACAGGCAGGTTTATGATCTGGGGGAGGACTGAGTCTCCAACGGCTGGCTCAGGAGAGAGGGCCCTTTGTGTGGCTGCCCAGTTGCTGCGAAAGCATGCTGGCCGGGGTGGCCTCACCCTCGACAGAGCAGAACTGGGGGGCCTGAGCTAGCCCACCCGCTCCTCAGAAGCTGCCCAGGACTCGCCTTCTCTGTGCTCCCAGGCGGGATGCTGCTAATTGAAAACACATGGTCGCTGTGAGGCCGGGCCTCTGAGCCTGGGCAGGATGGCAGGCACACACACATACATCCACATGCGGTGTCACATCGGCTCAAACACAAATATCCACGCACATCCTTCACAAGAGCACACACACGCCACAAACATGCCATCTCACAGTCACACATTCTCGCAAACACTTGCAAACCCAACTCCCAAACCGCTGTCACACACATCCTCCCTCAAATCTCAGAGTCACATTCCCCTTAGTCTTGACACTGATGGGCAGACACCCCCTGTCCTCTGACCACCTGAACCTCCCTTCCCACACCCCGGAGATACCATTCCAGGGGCACTCAGGCTCGAGGTGGCCCCGTTTAATTCAGTGTTGCTTGTTTGGACACCTAGAATCAGGAGAGATTCTAGGCAGGGGTTTTTGCAACTCCGGTGGAGCCATGATGTTGAATTCTACTCCAAATGGACGGCAGCATCCGTGTTTGAAGGAAATTAAAAGTATTTTTGGTTGCAAACTTCTCACTGCTCCTGCACCCTGAGTCATGGAAGGAGGGGGTGTTCATTTGGCTTCGGGTTGTGTATGTCTAAAAGGATAAAAAGAGAACAACAGATTTACTTCGGTATTTTTTGTCTATTTCTGCGCTACAAGAGAATTTCATGAGGACATCCTTCAAGACAATTCTATCAGGTTTCTTCTATCTTAAATCGCAACTAAATTTCAGTGAACGTATTTTTTCCTGTTCTGCCAAACTTTGGCTGTTCATTGCAAATGTTATACAACATTTTCCACCTTGATTTTTTTGTAAGGCAAAACTGAGAAAGTTAAACCTTCAGTACACTCACATACCCTGGCAAAACAGCTTTGCCCGAGTTCATGCTGGAAGTGCCTGGAGTTTTTGCTGGAGGTGCGTGGAACCCGGCCCTCCCAGCGGCCATCTGACCTGAAAGCCAAGCCCCATTGCTGGCTCTCTCTGCTGCCCTTTGTCTTTAAGGAATTACGAGTGAGCTAGGCCCAGCATAATAAACCTGTCACACCTCTGCAGCTGTTTAGGGGCGCAGACTGGGCAGTGCAGGCCGCACGACCTTAAGGGAGCGCTAAAGGGCGCGGGCCGCTGGTGCCTCGCACAAGATGGCTCCTTCGGAAGGCCGGGTCCGGCCTTGGCGCCGACGTGGGGCGGGTAGGCTCTGGCAAACCCTACCGAGGCGGCTTTGGGTTCTTTTTCGCCCCTTTTAATCACCTTCACCTACACCAACCACCTCGAACCCAGCCAGTTGGAGGGCTCCTGGCAGATTCGAGGAGTGTTACTGTAACACTGTGTTATTAGAGCTTGGAGCAGGCAGCAACACTTTAAACATTCACTTGAAAATAACCTTAAATGTATTGTTTACAAATAACTTTTTAACATCCTCCCCCACAAATCTCAAAGCACCCTCCGCACATTCTTTGTATGTGGGAATTCCTACTGGGTAAATTCTGTGTTAAGGCGCAGCCCATACAGGACCATGTATTTTCCATGACCTGGAGCCATGATTGTCTGTGGGTAGCATAGAGGGGTGGCGGCAGTGCCCATCCAGGTTTTACAAAACGAGTGTCCCTGCGTATGTATGGACGTGCCTTAGAAAGAGATCTTCACGTCTATACATGGCACCCGCACCCTCCAAAAATTGTGGATTGTCCTCAGGGGGTTAGCTAATACTTTTCACAAGCAGCAGCGACAATGGGGCACAAAGCGGTGCTAGGAGCAGGCCCACCGTCCACAGTGTCCCCTGAGAACACTCGAGGTCTGGGCCTGATTTCCTCCGTGAGTTGGAGGCGTCCCCGCCCCATGCCAAGCTGGCCCGAGGCCTCCCCGCTCACACCCCGGTGCCTGGGCGTCTTCAAGGGGCTGTGCCGTCGGGGTTATTACTCGCGATTGGATCTCGGGCCGTGTTGCTTTCCTCGGGGCCCCCGAGCCGGCCCGGGGGTCTGCACCGACCAGGCCTGAGCTACAGGCTTCCCCTGCAGGGCCCGCTGGGAGCGAGCTCTATCCCCAAAGCCCATTTCCAAGTCGCGGGTACGACTACGACGCTGGGGCAGGCTACCCCACCCTTACCCCTTCGGCAGCCAGAGCGCCTATGCTGAGAGCTGACGACCCCGGCCTGACCCCAGGCCCCACCGCCTAGTCCCGCCCTTCCTCCAGGGTCAGGGGTCACACACAGCGGACGCCCAGTTCTCAGCTGCCCCTTTGATCTCTGAATTAGGGAGCCAGCGGGTCCGCTTGGGCGTGCTCTGCTATGGGCACTGGGACCCCTTTACTGCTTCGGAAAAGAGCCCCGACGGCAAGTGGGAAGGCCTAGACTGCCCGCGTCCCCGCTCCCCAGCTCTGCGACAACCGGCCAGGCTCTCAGCCCCGGGGCTTCCCCGCTCTGGTTTTGAGGGAGGGGCCGGCAGACCCGCCACCGCGCGTGCGCACGCGCCGGCCGCGAGCCCCCAGGTGCAGGCCTGGGCGGCTGCGGCCCTCGCACTTGTCCAGGCGCCGGCGGCCTCGCGCTCCTCAAGCTCCTGCTTGGGCAGAGATTTGGGGCTGGACTGAAGCACTGTGGTTCATTACAGCATCCCCTCGCCGTCAGCAGTCCTGGCCACGCGAATGCGCCAATGCGCTCAGGCGCACGCAGAGACTGGTGCGGCAGCCTTCGGGCCAAAGGAAAGCGAGCAAAGCTGTTTGGGGAACTGGGACACGCAATTGAAGTTGGGGCTGCACCGACTCCCTCCGCTTCGGGGGAGCCACGGGCCCGGGCAAGCCTAGGAGGAGGCTGAACAGCCCGAGGCCCGGGCGGGAGTGGCGGGCCGCGGGCAAGAGAATGTATATTTGGAAGGGGTCAGGACCTCGGCTGGAGTCTGGCTTTTTATGGCGAGGAAGCCGACTGGGAAGGGCCTTCTGGCGAGGCTTTCCTGTTGTGCCACTTTTCCCCGGCAGCGCCGGGCGCGGGGAACGCGGGGCTGCAGCGCGGCGGGGGAGGGGCCTTTACCCAGCGGCTCGGAGGACTCGACTCTGGGGTCGCGCCTGGCGGGTAGGCCCGCCCAGGAGCCAGCTGGCAAATGCAACGGACTGTCACGTTATTCCGCAGCCACCAAACACTTACTGTAAATCACTGTCCTGCGCCTCCGGGAGAATCCGTCGAACCTGAGAGGGGAGAGAGGGTGGGGGTGGGCTCGCAGGAAGCCCCACAGGCAGCAGGGACTGCTGACCCAGGACGTCAACCGCTCCAGTTCTCTTTGGGAATTTCTAGCACCCAGAGTGCCCTAACTGTGGGAATCACGGTGGGGCCTCTTCCTCCTAAAGTCTCCCTGGGACGACTGGCGCGCCACCCTCGCCTCTGGGTTAGCGCACACACCTCCTCGCGATAACCAGCACAGCCATTGTGAGGCCCGCATATCCTTAGAGGGTGATGATAATAATAAAAACCACTGGATTCATGAGGAAGCCCCTGGCCCCGGCTTCGCAGCCGCTGCTGTCCTGAATATCCCAGCTGCGGAAAGACCCCGCGGCCGGGCCCGACCCGCGAGTGAACCCCGGGCTGCGGACCCAGCCGGGCCTACTGGACTGCCGCGTCCCCAGCGCGCTGGCGCGGGGCTCCGGAGACAGGCCTCGCAGGGCCCTCCTGAGCACGGTCTGGGACGCCGATTTTGCCGACTTGGAGGACAATTTTTGTTTTCTCTCTACCAACGGATTTTAAAAATCCGATCGCCGCTGAAGTGTGCTTCCCACCCCTGTCGGGTTTGCTCGTTTGTAACCATTTAGGAGACCCAGCGCAGACTCCGGGCCCAGTGACCTGCTTTTATACTGAAGGAAATGTGGAGGCCTTAAGAGTTAATGGCGCTAAATGTGTTGGTTTTCCTGCTTTTTCCCCGGGGTAGGTTATGGGAGGGGGGATGTCCTTCTCTCCCCCTCTTCCCTCCCCTCTCTTTCCGTCTCCCTCTCTCCCGGAACCCGGGATCTAAGTCGTCCTCAGAGCTCTCCAGCAAACTCCTTCCATTCCCAACCTTGAGTTCCTTGTCCGCACCCCGCTGGAGCCCCTCCCTGGAGCCTCCTCTGCTTCTCTAGGCCCTGCCTAGGGTTCCACCACTTGGGTCAAGCCAGAGGCCTCACTGCCTGGCCCTGGCTCCCACTCCGATGCTCACTTGCTGGGTTCACAAACTGCTCTCCCATGCCCACCCAAGTAGCACCAAGCTGTGTTGACATAGGGGGCCAAGGAGCAGCCCACTGTGTCCCCTCAGTAGGAGCGGCCTGCAGTCGCAGCTGCGGAAGAGGGTAGACAGTCATATCCTAATGACACCCAGGGAGATCAGTGGGCTTGGAGGGGCCCATGGACAGGCCAGAGAAAGAAAATGCTCTTAAGGAGAAAGGGAGGCATCCTCTGGACCAGGAGGGAGCTTCTGAGCGGGAAGCAATTCCAGGCCCTCCCGAGGACCACACAGACCCAGCCTCTTCTCGCGGGCTGTGTCTCCCAGTGCAAGCTCCAGCCTTCTCCAGGACAGGCCCGAGTCTATGTGCAAGGAAATTCCAGGTCCTACTGTATCTCCCATAATACGCTCAATATGCTGCAAATTTAAAATCAGTGAGGGAAAAAAACAACCAAAAAAATAATATAAACCAGAGGGTTTCTTTGGGGCCAGGGTAAGATGGGAAAGCAGCTTAGGTCATAAATTGAGCCTTCTGCTCTCTGTGTCGCACTTTTGTTTCCAATAAGGTGGACATGGTACATTTTGCCCAATTTTCCACTAGTAATCATGTTGAGAATGTTCGTGGAGAAGCGGCTTTCATTTTCCTGAATGGGTTTTGGAGGTGGAATTCATTTACTTAAGTATTGTTTCCTAGCTGACTGGGACCTGGAACCTGCCATTCCCGCTGCAGTGTGGCCCCAAATCTGTCTGAGGCCTAGGTGCAAACTTGGCATCAGGGCCGAATCTGGCTCATCACCCATATGGTTCAGTGGAAGGTGGGCCTGCAGGTTCCAGAGCTGGGCTGGAAGTGGGGACATCCGGGAGAAACTTGGGTGGGGCCGGGAGAAGGATGGGGAAAAAGTGACAGAGACAAAGGGACAGAGACACAGAACCTAATGGTTATGGTGCATTCACACTGAAAAGGGGGAGATGGGATAACGGAGTGGGGGTGGGAAATAGGCCACGGAAGTTCCAGCCAAGAAGCTGGAGCCCCAACTGCAAAGAAGACATTCGTGTTAGGGTGGGAGGGAAAGCGTCAATAATGAAAGCTCTTTGCAGGGAACCTTTTGGCTGTGTTATAAATCGAAATGGGAGATTTCAGAAAGTGGGCTTTCGGAAGCTGGCATTTGGGGCCCTGTGGCAAATCTCAGTGGGTTTCTCTTCCTAAGTGTCAGAATAAATTAAACTTCCCTTGGGAGCTCTCCTGAGCTGCCCCCTCAGATGGGTAGGATGAAGACTCTGACACAGTCTCTTCGTCCCACACCCCTATCTCTCTGCCTGGCTGGAGAGTGGCTGCCTGCACACAATCATATTCTGTCCTGCCTGGCCAGCTTTACGACTTGGCCACCATCAATCTTGCCCCTAACACGACATTTGTTTATGACTGGCGGGAAGGGCTAATGGCTTCATGAACTGTCCATGAAATGCCTATAGTGCAGAAGGCCCTGCAACACCAGGAAAGCCCAAGGAGCAGGGGACTCAGAGCTGGACTCTGAAGTGAACGGGACCCTCAAGAACGGGAGCCCCTCTCACAGAGCTCTCAGAGGTGGTTCAGGAGTACAGGGAAACTGTCACTCCAACTAGCCTTCTTTGGGTGCCACCAACATCTCAGACAACACTGGTGTGGGTGCCTGAGGCCTGATCAAGTATGAACACCTCTTGTCCCTCGTAGGCAATCTGTCTAGGCAGCCTCAACCTGTGGAAGGTTCAGGGTCTCTTGGGTTTTGCACCATTAAGAACAAAACTAATGACCCTCCACCTGAAAAACGAGACCCTTCCTTCCCTGTGTCCTCTCCTCGCCTATCAAAGTTAGGGAGAGCCCAATAGTACTATAAGGCACTCTTGTTTCCTGACCCTTGTTTCTGACCGGGCAGGAAATGGCCAAGAGCTTACAGGCCACCAGTACAATCGAGCCTTATTCCTTTGCAAGCATCGATTATTAATGACACAAATTTTGCAGAATAATAAATTGTAAAAGGTGTGCTTGTTTACATGCAGTCTGGTGAAAAAAGGTCTGCTAACAACATAACCCTGGAAAATTCAGCACGGGTTCCTCCCACACGTGCAACATGCCAAATGCAAGACTGCACATGGGATGGAGCATGCTGGCCTTTATTCACTCATGGTATAAATTGCTAAGAAAATAAGTGTGCCCATTTCTACAGAAAGGACAAAATACTTATTCTCCTAAAGCTTTTTACAGAGTCTATTTTCAAAATTAGCTGACCCCCCACCATGGATCTGGACTGCCTTCACAGGCTCATTTCAAAATGTACTGACTATTAGTTAAAATATCAAGGAGTTTTTCTTAGAACATTTCACAGAAAAAATATTCTTCTTGCTAAAATAGTACAAACTAAACGTGAAAACCTCTAAGGAATAAACAGTTCCAGGTTAAATGAGGTTGGCAGAAGTTGGTTTTCTTAAATCGGATGTGAGAATCCAAAAGGTAACGTATTGATAGGAGACATTAGATATAGATACAGTTTTTAAAATCCGAATAACGAGCAGAACCCCTCTCCTTCCACTCAACATAGTTTCTAAACTTGCGCAGGCAACGACTGCAGAAATGACTACGTCATATATGGTTAGCACAAACACCTTCTTAGACACATGTATGCTCCATGCCTAATTTTCAAACATTCGAATGGAAAGGGTAAAGCAGTTGCTAAGAAGCTTTGCTCGCGCATGCCTGTAAACACTCTCGGACCTGCGGGCCAGGGGCTCCTCGCCGGCCGCAGAAACCGCAGCACCGCGTGCTCACCCTGTACCGGCTTCCTCTCCAGCCTCGGGGACTGGAGCCCCGCAAGGAAGGGCAGGGGCTGCTCAAGGCCCACCCATCGGCAGGGCAGACTCTGAAAGACCCCCAGCTGGGAGCGAGCCGACTTTTTCCCTAGCCCAGGTCACCCCAGCAGCCCGCTCCCGCCCCTGGGAACGGTGCAGAAAGCCAGCCGAGCTCTCCGGGACCGACCTGGGCCTAGGCCGGGGCTGACTGCAGTCGCCACCTCCTCAGGGCCGCAAAGCCTAGGCCCAAGGAGAGCGGAGAGTTACAGGCACGTGGACCGCGAACACGCTGAGCCCGCCGCTCGCCCAAGGGCTTCTGGCGTCCCTGAGGCCGAGGAACTCCCCACACGGCCACTGCCAAGTGAATGGTGGCCTCTGCAAACCGACCTCACACACCGCGTGGGGACGCAGCCCTGCCGGGGAGGCCGCCTGGGGCCACAGCACTGGCTGGGGCAGGTCTTGCGCTGCCAGGCCGAGGCGGGTGGGCCGCGGCCGGGGTCGGGGAGGGTCTGGGATGGTCCTGCAAACGCGCAGCTCAGGGCCCCGCGCCTGGAGGCTGCGGGCTGGCGCGGGGCGAGCTGTCACTCGTGAGCAATGAAGTGCCTCTGACCTTTCCACCCCAGCTGCGCTCCTAAACACACGTGCGTGTGTCTTCACAACAAAAAAGGCCAGCGAGGAGGAAGTGGGAGCTCGGCGGGGCCGGGCAGCACCAGGCGGAGTCTCAGGGTGACAGGGCAGGGGAGCGGGCTCCTCCGAGTGCCTTAGCCAGAGCCCTGAGGGCGCTTCTCCCCTCTGGGCGGCCCCCGCCGGCCCCGTCCCCGTCCCCAGCACTTCGCGCCTGCCACTCTCCCTCCTCGCGGTCTTCCCGACACCCAGACCCAACCTACGATTAACCCAGCTAACGTAACAAGGGTCTCCTTTGACTGTTTTCTCCAGCGACTAATTTCAGAAGGAAGCCGCGGAGGCCGGGGCTCATCTGGTGAGGGAGGCGGCGGGGCGGGGTAGGGGGGAGGAAGGAGCTCCAAATGCAAACAGAAGCCGAGCCCCGGGCCGCCGCGGTAATTACAGCTAATTAGCTGGAGAGCGTTCCCGTCGCGAGCTGCGTCCAGGAGGCCGGCGTCGGGGCGGGCGCGACTCGGAAGAGACTGGGCCGCGGAGAAACGCCCCAGCCGGAAAGCCAAGGCGTGGGCCGCGCGGGTCTCCACCCGCCACCCCCTACTCCACAGAGCCCAACCAGACACGTCGAGAACAGTACCGTCTCTGGCGACCGAGCTACTCCGCCTCGGGCTGGGCCAGCCCGCCCGTGGGGACAGGGCCGTGTGTCACCTGGTGCAGCTCCCCTTCTGGGCCTCGACAAACCAGCTCCGGCCGCGGGCCTCTGTCCGCAAATCCCAGCTCCTCGCTCGGCTCCCCAAAGTGGAACAACACGCCAACTCCTGGAGACTGGCGATAAGTCTTTACCGTCACCCCCTCCCCTCCTCCGTCCGGAAAGAGGCTGTAACCCGAAGAAGCTGGAGGCAGCCCCGGGACCTAGCTCCGGGACAGCCCAGCGAGATTTAAACGGGGCCGTGAGGCCAACCCCAGCTCGCCTGCCCCGAGGAGACACCCGCGCCAGAGCTGCAGCGATCTTCCCGGCGATTAGGTTACGACCCTGGGGGAGGGGACGGAGCGAATCACAGGCCACGTAGAGCAGTTTTTGACTGAAATTAAAGTGTATTTATTTGCAGCAATCCTTTAACAATGATCAAATTTTGACAACAAGCAACAGCAATTACTGCTTAAGTGTTGCCTCTAGATAGGAGCGGCAGATAGCAGGAAACTGTATTATCTCCAAAACAAACTGCAAGGCCCCCGAACGCCTGTAATCAAATCGCCATCTCCCCAAAGTCTGATTGGCAGGGCAGATTACCCTAAGATAATGAATTTATTACATTTCCTGGGTTATTTACAAAAGGGGAAGGGCCAACCCGGATTGTCCCCTAGGTTTAACTGTAAATTAACAAGAAAAATTGGTTTAAAAAGAAACCATCCTAGACCAAAATGTTCTGCTCCTCTCGCCTTCCTTCTTGTTGCTTTAAATCTTTTGCAAGAATAATTGTTCTACAAACATACCTTCTAAAATAGTTTCCCAAAGATTAAATATCCCTTTCCAACCCGCAATATATTTTTTAAAAGGCAATCCTTCTATGTAATACATGAAGGATTGTAAATGGGGGTGAATTATATACATACATTTAAAAACTGGTTTATTTTTCCTTTTGTAAAGGACTGAAATTAATAGGAAAAATCTATTCAGAATCTGGCTCACAGGGATGTATAATATGAATTGCAATTTTATATGGAATACACAAGCCAAGTATTTATCTGTGCGTATCTGGCTGAACCGTCCCATCACTCAGCACACAGGTATCACTGTGGTAAGACTGCAGCTGATTCATGGGCTTAAAATTTCCAAATCATGGTCTGTCATTAGTAAGAAAACTTATTTGTTTATATGCCAACTCCAATCTGTTTAGAAAAATATCTTTTTACTAGCTTCAAAGCAAGCTGACTATATAGTACATTTTGCAGAAGATGCTGCAAGAAGATAAATCTAAACAAAAAGACTTTAGTAAAACTGGACCTGAACTAGTCAGAGGGCTTCTCCATTTTTCAGAGATTTAATTGGAGAATAGGTAACTTATAGTGTTTTATCTCTGAAATCTTTTTTCGTAATAATTAAAGCTCTATTAAAGTATCCAGACATATAGGTCTCATTCAAATTGAATGGTAATTTATTAATAAACAAACAATGAATATGTTCAACAAAAAAAAAAAGAAAAGAGGATAGAATAAGATTAATACAGTTTCCCTTTTTATAATGAGAAAAAAGCACAATTTAAAGTTTCAGGCAATTTAACGTCAGGTTTTGGAAACACTTTCTGGCGTTTGGTCCACGACATCCAACTACAAATTAAAAATAAATTACTATGTTGCAATTTACATTTTAAAACAAGTCCATGAATAAAAAGAAAGCAACTTTCATAAACGGGGACTTTCCCCCTCCCTTCAACATAGGATAAAATAGTATCTTACAGGTGAGAGGCAAGGAAGAAGGCAAGAGAAGGCAGAGGGGAGGACGGGAAAGAAGGTCTCCGAAAAGCAAGAAGAAACTTACGTGTTATCTGGAGTAACACTGTCCTTTAATAAACCATGATTTTGCTGTCTTTGTACAAAACAGTTTACCGGTTTGTTTATTTAGATAAGGCAAAGTGGAGGTGGCTCTGAATTAATCTGTTAAGAAAACAGTTTTCTTCGTGCTGGTGCTGGTGAGCTGAATTTTTGGAGGGATATTCTGTTCGCTGGTGTGGTGAATATTCTCAGGGTTTTTCTAAATCAGATTTTTTTTTTTTTTTAGTTTCGATTTTGCCTTGACGGGTTCCTTTGGCTTTTCCTGCATTGGGGTTCGATTCAGTTCGGCTTTGAGGGAGTGTCAAAACTTGCTACAGTCGTAGACGAAAGCTCCAGACGTGCGGTACAGAGACTGGCTGGAAGGAAAGGCCATCTGACAGCTACTATTCCCGTTCACTGGAGAGTTGTTCAAGCCGATCCTCTGCGACTCGAACATCTCCCGCACCGAGTGGAAGTTCTGCTGCTGGCCCGGGTAGCCCGCGGCCGCCGCCGCCGCCGCACTCGCCAAGTGGCCCAGGTCTCCACCCGCCTGGTTCAGGTACCACGAGGTGAGGCGGCCTTGGTGGGCCGCAGGGTGGTGGCCGGCCTCCTGGCCTCCCCCGCCTCCGCCGCCGCCGCCGCCGCCGTGGCTCAGGGACGACGAGCTGCTGCTGGTGACCGGAGGCAGAGAGTAGTCGGGCAGGGGGTCGTCCACTGCCGAGCCGCCCGCACCCCCGGGCGCGCCCTGCAAGTGGCCCCCGCGCTCGCCGGCCGCGTACAGGCTCATGGCCTGCAGGTTGCAGTGGTAGGTCCCGGCGCCGCCCGCGCCCCCCGTGCCCCCCGCGCCGCCGCCTCCCGAGCTGCCCGCACTGGAGCTCTGGCTGCAGGGGGAGCTGTAGAGGGAGCTCTGGCCAGGCGAGTAGGCGCCGAGTGCCAGCGGAGGTGCTATCCCTGTGCGCGAAGACGCGGCCGCTGAGGCCAGAAGGCCCGAGCTGAGCTCCGCGGCCGCGCCCTGCGGCGACCCCCGCAGCGACGTCATGATGTTGTCCACGCTGAAGCCCTGGCTGTGGTGCGGCGGCGGCGGCGCGGAGGGCGCGGGCGGCGGCGGCGGCGGCGCGGACTCCGCACCGTCCAGGCTGAGCGGCCGCGCCGACGGCAGGCTGCCTGGGGGGCTGCTCCCGCTAGACAGGCTGCTGCTGCTGCTGTCCGGGCTCTCGATCTTGGGCACTGCGGCGGCGCTGCCGCTGCCCAGGGCGGCGGCCGGGGACAGGGGCTGGGGCGGCGAGGGGCACGTACCGTTCTCGGTTTTGATGTCCTGGATGCGCACGGGCGGCGGCTGCGGGCCGGGCGCGTTGCCGTCGGCCTGCTCGGGCGGCGCGGGCGGGGGCTGGCGGCCGGGCGGGGGCGGCTCCTTGAGGTGCAGCCGGTCCTTCTCCTCCTTGTCCTTCACCGCGTCCTTCTTCTTGAAGCGCCGCCGCCGCCGCAGGAAGCTGCCGTTCTCGAACATGTTGTAGGAGTCCGGGTCCAGCGTCCAGTAGCTGCCCTTGCCCGGCTTCTTGTCGTCGCGCGGCACCTTGACGAAGCACTCGTTGAGCGAGAGATTGTGGCGGATGCTGTTCTGCCAGCCCTGCTTGTTGTCCCGGTAAAAGGGGAAGCGGTCCATGATGAACTGGTAGATGCCGTTCAGGGTGATCTTCTTGTCCGGGGCGTTCTGGATGGCCATGGTAATGAGCGCGATGTAGCTATAGGGCGGCTTCACCATGTCCTTGGGCTGCGGCTGCGGCGTGTAGGGCCCGTAGGCGCGGGCCATGCCGCCCGGGTACTGCTCGGCGTGCGCGGGATGCGAGTACACGCTCATGGGGGCCGGCATGGCGGTGTAACCGCCCCCAGCCGCCGCGGCCGCCGCGCGGTAGTAGCTCTGCTCGCCGCCGAGGTAGGGCACCACTCCCAGGGAGTTGGGGCTGGACACGGAGTAGCGCGCCTGCATGGCCCCGGCTCGCCGCCGCCGCCTCCCCGCGCCGCCCGCCGCCCCCCACCCTCGCTCGGGCCGGGCCGCGCCGCGCCGGCCGCCGAGTCCGAGTCCGAGTCCGGGCCCGGCCGAGCTGCTGCCGGCTCGCTGCGCTGTGCGTCCGGCCGCGCTGCCGCCTCTCCCGGCGCTCGCTGGGGCTGGCTCCTCCGGCGCCTGGGGCTACCTTCGGGCCCGCGCGGCCGCGAGGCGGGGTCGCTGAGAGGGGAGAAGGCCGGGGCGGGCCGCGGCAGACCGCCTTGCAGGAACTCGCGGCGCAGCTTCCAGGCGCAAACGGGGAAAAGCAGCCAAAAAGAAAGAACAAGCAGGCGCCCTTCTCGCCACACTGCCTGCGCCTTCCAGGAGACTCTGCCCCGAGCTGCCGACGAAGGCGGCCAAATAACCAGGGCGGGGGGGGGGCCGCGCGCCGGCCGCCTGCCCGGGCCCCGCGTCACCTTTTCTCGGTCTCTCGCGCGCCAGCCGCTTAAGGAAGCATTGGGAAAACTTCTGAACTTTTGAGCATCCGTCACCAAGGCGAGGACTTTTTTACGCAGTTACACATTTTTCCGGGCAGCGGAGCCCCGCCCCGCCAGCGGCGGCAGCCAATGGGAAGTGAGAACCGCCTCTGAATGAGCCGGAGGCTGATCCTGGCCGGCCAGCTCCCGGAGGCCGGAGGACCGCGGGGCTGACCACACGCGCGCCGGCCGCCCCGGCCCCGGCCCCGGCCCCGCGCCTGCGCCTGACCGCGGTCGGTTCGCCCCCCGCAGTCCACCTGCCCGCCGCCTGCGCCCGGCGGGCCTCCCACCCCGGGCCCTCCGGAAGCACGCCCGCTGTTCGCGCAGACTTTCAGGGTCCTCCCGGGCCCGGCGCAGACCGTTCCTTCGTCCACCGCTCCGGAACGGCCCCGGCGTCTCCGCCCCGCCTCGCGCTGGCTAGTTCCCATTCCTTCGCCAAACCCGCCGACGCCACCGCTGGGTTGCCCCGGCCTCTCCACCCCGCAGCCCGTTCCCTCCCTTCTCCAACGTCAGTCTCACTCGGGTCACTGACGTCTCCGGCTTTTCTCCACTTGGAGGTTCTTCTGTCCTGAACTCGGCTACAACAGACACGATTTTGAGGGCTCGGTTCCCAGGCCCTGTTCCCGGTGGGGAAAAAGGTTCGTCGCCCATCTCGCCCTCCTCCATGACCCCTCCCCAATAGAAATTCAGGCAAGGGGTGCGGGGCCCCGCTGGGAGTTTCCGACGGCCGTTCACCCGCTTAGGATGAGCCCGCCTCACTGCGGGCCGCCCTGCTCCTCTCCCACCTCCCGGGGGGTGCCTTGGCGACCTGAAGGTGCGGGCGTCCAGAGCTGCCAAAGCCCGGCTGCTTCCCCGCGCTCCCTTGCTCGCCCACGAGGGTCCCTCCGGCTCCCCGCGCCGCCGCCCGCTCTGGTCCCGCCACCCGCGTTTCAGCTTAGATGAGGGGTCAGGCTGCGGGCTCGGTGACATTAGCAGGTGTGATGACAAAAAGCAAATAAATATGTCTAAGAGCTTAAAACTTCCCCAGGCCAGTCTCCATCTCCACACGCGCGGGGCTGCCGGCTCGCAGAGATAACGGGTGTGTCTGGGGGAATGTACGGGATCGCACCTGCGGGGTGGTTCAGAGATTCTGGGGGATACGCACAAAAGAGTTCCCGCTCCTTGTGCACACGCCTGAGATTTGCCTTCGCTGGATGGTTCGAATGGGATAGAAGAAGAGAAATGAGGGAAAGAAACGGAGTAGCAGAAAAGAGCCGGGCCTCCCTCCCATCCGCGCGGCGATTCTGCATTTCAGTGAGTTTAGGAGAGACCCTCCCGGAAGCTGAATCCTAGGTCGTTCACTAGAAGTTGGGGGAAGTGGCGAGTTTAGCAGGCTGCGAAGAAGCGTGTGTGACGCATTTAACACCTCCGCTCCCCCTAATTGCCGAACATCTCTAAACTCCAAGGACTTGTTCGGGGCCCTTTTGTCTCCTCGGTTCCAATCCGGGCTTCTTCACGTTGGCAGGAAAATTCAAATTGCAGCTTCGCTGTTACATGTGAAGGACGCTGACGTGTAGCAGGCGCATCTCGGTGCCACCTGAACAGTTAAAAATTAGTTTCATAATGGACATTGACATCGAGGGAAGGAGGACCTGCCCCTTCTAGAATTAGCCTTTGGAGGAGGGAGGGTTACGCCGAGGTTGCTCTGAATCCCGATGCAGCTGCCTCCTGGCCTGCTGTGCGCCGGGGTCTCTGGAGACTCCCTTTCCAGGTGCTTTGCAGGCCAAGTCACTGGTGGGTTGGAGAAGCACCGACAGGAGACTCAGTACTTGCTGGTGGCCAAGGACACTAGACAGGGGCGAGGGTGGTGGTGAAGCCCCATGATCTGAACACTTAATTCGTGTCCAGCCAGCCCCCCAGTCCGGCAGCCTGACGGTCTTAGCCCCCTTGGACGAGGCTTTAAGCAGACTTCAGCCTGGAGGAGACTGAAGTGGTCTTCCTCAACACCTCAACGTTTGGTGAATTCGGTCTTTAAGCTGTTTTTTGCACTGCTAGCGGTGCGCGGAGATGAACGCAGCGATTACGGATGCTTTGTTTTCCGAGTGCGGGAAATGCCTTCGGCCCGGAGTTTTGCAACAGGCAATCGTGCCCGGCTGCCCCCTCCCCCATCAGCCCTGTCGCCTCCTGCTCTTCCCTGACTCCTCCCTCCTACGGCCCAGTGAAGTGTAAACAGCTTGTTATGTAAATTGCAAATCGAACAGCAGTGGTGTTCTCCGCTCTCCGCTTTGGGTATAAAAGTTGCCGTTGTGAAATTAGTATCTGGCATGCAAAAAAAAATAGAGGGGTGTAGTTTTATCAAGATCAACTTTCCACTGGTTTAGATGTGGATATTCGCCAGGAAAAGATATTTCCATTTGTGTTTTATAAACTTGCTCGGAAGCAAGCCTCCAGTAAGCGGCTTGATTCTATTTCAAGCACTTATTTCATTATTGTTGTTAGTTCTGTTATTTGAACATAAGGCGCAGACATAGTCTTTTGGGGAACAGGTTAAAGTTTTTATTTTCAGGTTAAAGTTTTTGATGTCCCTTTCTGCTACTCCACGAGGTACTTCAGTCATCGTCTTCAGCACATCCCTTGACTCAGTTGGCAGAAGAGCCCCCACAGGAACCCTACAGCTTCTTTTCTGACACCTCGAATACTTGCAGCCTGAAGGCCCCGCAGGCGACAACGGTAATGGATGTTTGGTGGAACGGTCGCTGGGCCCACACTCCGCCCCTCCCCAGCAGGCAAGGCTACAATTCCTAGGGCCCACCGAGGGGTGCTTAGCTCTAGGGGAGTGACGTCACAGCGACTTCGAAACAAGGCCTCCCCGGACCCCACCAAAGAAAAGCACCAGGAAGGGGAATGTGGCTAGCACTCCAGGAAATGCTCGGATTGGAGACCAGGTGACACTGTAGGAATGTGTGTGCTGGGCGACGAGATGCTGTCCTAAACGCGGGTCACCAAGAGCCAGAAGAAGATCTTTAAAATTGCTAGTAAAGTACAGGGAGTGGAGATTGGGATGGGGCAGTGTAGAAAAATCACTCCCTAGGGCTGTGAGCTCAGCCCGTGCTGTGCGATTTGTCCCCCGTCGCAGGCCAATCGCCTCTGTGGTGTGCTTAGGTGCCCTCTCTTTTACCTCCCTGCTTTCTGGCTTCTCCAGGCTCTGGACTCTGGGTTCAGCTCTGGAAGCCGAACTGTGGGCTGGACTGGGGAGGCGGGCACAGGTAGGAAACAGCTTCAAGGAGGCGCTGCCTGTCTCAGGAGCTGGGGGACTACGGAAAAGGTAGGCTTAGAACATGAGGGAAGGCGCTTCTCCTGCTCCACTGGGGACAGTGATTCCTGGGGGTCCTTACGCACAGGAGGGAGGCTGCAAGTCCACAGCTGCCTTAGCATCTTTCCCTTTGCTGGGGGAGACAAAGTGGAAGATTAAGGCGATTAACAGCGGAGGGCCACTGGAAAACTGCCCACTAGGCTGCCATCACAGACCACTGGAGCAGGATCTGCTTGGGAGTGTGTTTGAGCTATTTAGACTATTTAGATAATTGTCTTAGTTCTCCATTTGGCTTCCTTTGCTTAGACCAGAAGCCCAGGGGTAGGGGAGGTTATGCTGGTATCAATGCCCTGTATTCGTTTTCAAACCACGGTGCCAGCAGGTAACGTTTGTCAACGGTGCGTCTTTTCAGTGGAGGAAAGAGGGTGATAGGGCGTCTAGGTGGCCTCGACTCCGGGCAGATCCTCCTTAGCTGGGGGATTTTCAAGTAGAAGTTTTGTTAGCACAGTCCCTCCAATTCAGCCCCCTCCTTAGTAGAAAAATAATTTCTACAATAAACGAAAAGAACATTTGGTTTTCGATTGTTTTCAAGGCAAAGTGATCCATATTGCCTGTCTACATGATTGGATTAATCCAATAGTTGCCGTCCTAGCGGGGGCGGACCTCCACGGGAAGTTTGTATGACAGGATAATTTAATGTCATCTCCTAATTCCCCTAGATGGGCGGTGCCCCTAATTACTCACTCAGCAGAAAGCCAGCCAACACCTGCTAGTTCTCGCCTCGGGTTGGCCCACCTGTCGCCCCTTTGCAGGAAAGCACTCGCCTCGAAGGGCGTTTCAGGGGCTCAGAGCCGAAAGTGCAAGAGGTGCAAGAGCGCAGGGACCTAAGGTGCAAGAGGGGGCCACAGAGAATGCGGGAAATTAATCGTTAACTTTGGTCTCCGGCCTCAAAAGACTCAGGGCTTCCTGTGTTCGGGCAGAGATAAATGAAGATTCAAATTGTCATCTTGCATTAACAATCCAGAATGAAAATTTGTAAAGGGCTGGATGATCGGAAAGAACAAATGGTGCGTGTGTGCACCGAGTCCCGGTCTCTCCCCATCCAGGTCCCCAGCGGACTCAGGGCGGCCGCCGCACTCCAGGGCCTGGTAGGACAGAGGCCCGCAGCCTCCCAACCTCCGCTCAACCTTGGCGGGGGGAGGGGGCTGGCGGGCGCCGCGCAGGGCGGGCGAGTCTGCCAGAGCCAGGGTGCGGGGTGCGGCAGGCGCCGGCCATCGGAGGACCGCAGGGTGAAGGCGCCTTCCTGGGGCTGGAGCGGAAGGCGTGTGCCCCTGCACGGACGCGCCTGGCTATGGGTGTCGAAGGAAAGGCTCTGCTTGGTGAGACAGACCCACAGAGAGCTCCCCAGCCGCCGGCGGGGTGAGGTGGCCTGCACCTTGCAGGCGGACTGTTCCCGGGTCTCCCGCCCCGCGCCGCAGCGGATCCAGGCGCCGGGGCTGCCGTGAGCCTCCCTTCCAAGAGCTACCTTCGCGGAGCCCTGCGCTCTGGGACCTTCCTTCCGACGTGCCCCCGCTGACGAGGCTGGGCCCCGCGCTCCGAACCTCTGGGCAGCAGCCCCGGGGCGGGTGTTTGCACCTCTCAGGGCAGGGACAAGGCCGACACCTGGCTCGGTGCAACTGGCCTCCCCGGAGGGCCTGAGGACCGATACCGTCGGCGACTGCTGGTCCTCGCGAGTGGGTCGGCGCCTGGAATCGTGGCCTGGTGATCTGGTGGCCTGCGCCCTGACCGCCCTCCGCAGGCTTCCTGCCGCTTCCCCGCAAGCGTAGGAAGAGGAAGGGAGATGTGGAAGCCCGGAGGCTCCTTGGCCGACCCAGGCTGTGGCTCTCAGGCTGGAGGACCAGACCCCAGCCGGTCCCGCACCTTGGGTGCCCGGGGCCAGGCAGGCGTCCTGGGCGCCTGCACAGGGCACTGCGCGTGCTACGAGCGCCCCCTGCCGTCGGAGGCTTCGTCTCCGCCGCGCCTCTATCCACGCCGGACTCCAAGAGCCGGCCCAGCCCATCCCTCCGCAGCGTCCCCTGGGAACCGGCTTCCTGGGGAAGAGGGCTTGGGGCAGACCACGCCGCCAGAGTAGGACTCCGCAGGGCCTGTCACCTGGTTTTCGCACCCTGCAACTCTCATCCCTCAGGGTCCAGGCGGGAATAGTCCCATCGGGGAGACCATGTCAGACTCCCAGGCACAGACCAGGGACGCTTTTGTTCCTGGAGTGGAGGGAGGTGACCTGAGACAGGCTTTCTGCGACCGCTACGCATTCCTTCCAGGCGGCCCTTTTAATTGATGTACACGTTACAGAAAAAGCAAGGCTTCTCCATCAAGTGAATTACATTCTGGGAGATGCCAAGGAATGTATTTACTGGCAGCCAGGTTTGCCAATAAAAGTTGCAAATAAAGACTGCTGGTTTCCAGGAAAATGTACTTCTGTTTTTTAACCACTCCTTAGCCTTAATTACCAAAAACCGAGCCTCCAAGAACCAGTTTCGAGAACAGGACCAGTGAGTGGCGGTGCTGGCGAGGTCCCACACCCCCACGTGCACTTACACACCCCGAAGTCACCTATGGGAACAGGGACCAGGCACACCTCTGGCTTTGCCCACAGAGAGGCTTGCCCGTATTTACATATGCAGCAGACATAGACACAGGCGAAACGCTGGCACGCAGAGAGGTATGCATTCGGATTAGCGCTGTTTAGTTTGGAAGTGAAGAAATAAGAAAAGACAAACTATGGCAAATAGGCGCATTTCCACAGAATATTAAATGGAAATAAATGTATGCGAGGAAAGGAGGTGCTTGCTCTGCAGTGTTTAGCTATGGTCGCCCTGGTAATTCTTTTCAGTCCAACCGAGTTGACTATAAGTAAACGCAGCAGACAAATCCGGAATTTACATTTACTAAAGGGCCACTTTGGCTCGGGGACACAAGGACCCCAGTGGGAATTAGAAAATCTCCCCATTCACTAGATGGAGCAGCACCCCGCCCCCCCAAAAAAAGGGGGTTTTGGGCAGAGTGTGCACACTAATGAAAGGCGAATTTGTTCCATTTGTTTCTCCATTGTTAAGCACAGATATTAATAGCCACAATTATAAGGACAGGTAAGATGCATAGAACACTTAGTATGCAGTCATCCTGCTGCGTGATTTAAATTCTCCTTCCACTTAATCCTCACAAAGACTCTGACATGGATGCTGTGGTCTGCATCTTATAGGTGAGGAAACTGAGCTTAAAGAGAAGAAAGAGCTTGCCCAAGGTGACACAGCCTTCGCATTGCATGCTGCAGGATCTCACTGGTTCTAAGACGCCATTTACTGTAAGGTATGGTGCTTATGAGCCACAAAGAGGGGAAAAAACTAAATTATTAAATATCATCAGTGGTAAATCTTACCTCTGTTTCAATTGCTAAAATCTAAAAAAAAAAAAAATGTGCATTTCAGATCAATGATACGTTTACTAATCCATGTAATCAACAAACACGTAGAGGCCTGCTCTGTGTTTGGCCTTCTTCTAGCAGCTCGGAGTATAACAGAACACCCTTTGCAGACATCCATGAAGCTAAATGTGAATTACCATGGGAAGAATGTTTACCCACAGCAACCCTCGAATCTATTATATATGTGTACACATTTTGACTTGCACTGGGCTGGTTTATCTGCACCTTTCTATAGTGTTCTAGAGCTGCTCACGCCAGTGCTATGAGGACAAACAGGTATAAGTGCATGCACAGAAAAATAGCATATATTTGGGCACAGACATTCTGTATAGTTGAATAAAGGACCTGCTGGTGAATGCATGTTTCTCTCTTCCTGGATGCTACCTGGTGGCTCCTCTCCTGCTTTCCTCTCCATTTAGTTTCCCCAAGGAAGATTCTGCAGGAAACAGCACATAAAGCAGAGAGGCTCTTTCCTGCCCCTGCCTCCATGGTGGGCCTACCCTTACCCACAGCTCCAGACAGAGTGGGGAGGCAGACAGGAGC